ATATATATATGTATATTTTGTATAATTTAATTATCTTCAAGATATGGCGACGAAAGAATATTCTCGGTTCAAAAATCAAATAAAAACTGTAAGTGTTCTATCCAAGACAAACGCGATCAGTGTAAAAACCGGTAAAATGAGCCGGAAAGTAATTTAATTAGCAACTTCAACGACGCATGTACTGAAATAACCTATTTATTCTATTCTCGAGAGACAGTCTATTGAGATGTCTCTTACGTTACTCGTTACACATAAAGAGTCGTTACACACAAATGTCGAGACACGTATCATTAAGGTATTCACAGAGAATAGGATAAAGGAAAACGTACAGATATATATGTAATGAGCGTTCAAAATATCCACGTAATTATATCAGAGCGATTCACTTGAATCGCCTTGTACTGTCTGTCGATTCACTCTCACCAGCTCTGATGAAAATCAGTAAATATGAGAAAATGACGCGAATACGCGACCACCATCACCACCATGCGATTGCGAAGAGGTAATTCAAAGATTCGACTTAAGCTCGATTTCGATTAGCGCGATCGTCGCTTTTCGTCGGAGTTTAAGTCTTGTCATAGCCAATTGGTCGAAAATGTGGCGCACTCACATGAGAGCGACTCCAAACTGAGGTCTATTTCTTAGCACGGATCCTCATATGGACAACAGCGCTTTAACTTGATTGGTGAAAAACTGACGATAGGGATAAATTATTTCCACAACTGACTTTTCACAAATCAGCGCTCTATGTCAAAGCGCTGTTGCTCGTATGAGGATCCGGGCTTATTCCTGCACTCTCTGAACTGGGGCTCGATTGTGTATTTTGAAATGAGATAAAAATTACAAAAGTGAGCAATGAATATTAGGTATCAATTAAATTATAAATATTCTAGTGAATTTGTTGTTGACTTTTGTAATTTTCACCTCATTTCAAGATACACAATCGATCCCCTGATGCACACGGGCCACAATAAGTTAAAGTGAAATAAATATATATTTGTTTTACTTCAACTTATTGCATTATGTACACCAGTTCAGAGAATGCAGCGATAAAATAACAGACCTATAATAAAATAGAAACCAGAAAAAAAACCTGAGTGAGCATTCTGGCCCTTTTCCTGTATCA